AAGTCCGGCTTCCCCTACTCATGCCTAGCCTATCTTTGAGAGCCTTACACCACTTTCCGCAGTCCCATCTCGCTCTTGTCGCTTCCCCAGTGGCCGGCAGCTCCGGAGAGCGGACAACGCAAGTCCTCGTCCGAGCCAAGATAAGGACTGTGCTAGCCACAGCTGTATTTAAATTCAGTGTTGGTTTTACTATCAACAAAAACAGGGACCACAGAGCCTCAAAGTAACGTCAGAAGAAATCTAAGCTTGCTGAAAGTAGCAAGAGATCCGTTAAACACAGACGGAGCCCCCTTTTGCAGAATAGCTGGCTGTTAAATTTAAGCAATTGCTTTTTAATATCAACTCTGAGCTAACTGTTAACTGACACTGGAAAACAGAGTTTAAGACAACTGGTATTTCGGGAAATCTACATATCATTCCATGTTCTTTTCTTAAATATGGCTTTAAAATTTGTAAGGAAAATTATCTCATTCAGGAGCTGTATGAAAAGACGCTCACTGTTTTAACCAGATGCTACGTGCAGCAGTGAATGATTTCTTTATGAAGTAACTGAAACCTTACCCCCTCTTTTTTTTTCTTTTTTTTCTTTTTTTTTTTTTTTTTACAATTGGCATCTCGTCAACTCAAAATCCTTACGGATTAACACTGAAGTTCAGTTTCCACCCAACTAATCCTTTGGATTTCTCTGTAGCATCATAAACAATCATCGAAGATGCTGGGTTTGTGCCGGACTGCAGCACCTAACATCTCTTTGCCTTCATTCTCCTACCTGACCAAGCTGGGCTTGGGCCATGAATGCTAGAGCTTCGCCCAAAGTACAAACTAAACACTATGGAACGTCAAAATGCTGTAAAATAACTTCTGAACTGGTTATTAAGCACCATTATCGATCTATGAAAATGCACATTTCCATGCTCCCGATACAGACTAGGACATGGGGCATCTAAACACAAATTTTCTGTCCCTCCTCCCTCATCCCCCCAAACTGTCTCAGTGCAGCCGCTTCCCTTATCTGATCAAACCAATAACAGAACAGGTGAACCACAAAATGACAGAGTTTGATTAACTCTTATTTTTCTAAATTAAACTTAAGAGACATGGTAAAGTTAAAAAAAAAAAAAATTATATTTTTTTCAGGAAGTTACATAATCCAATTAGTTCCTCCTTCCTATGAATCTTATAACCGTAATTAGTTACATTAGAAAGATACATAAAGTGTAACAAATTGTGCCATCTGACAAGTTGGGCTAGAATTTATTCTGCACAAAACATTATCGCCTGTATTTTTCAGAGCAGAAAACCCCAAAATTCAATATTCCCTTTAGAGATAAAGCTTCATTCAAAGCCAATGCTCCAATTTATTTTGTTAATCACCCTTTGCTACATGACGGTTAATCACTTAAAAGTCCCATAATATTGACAACAAACTGACCATAAAAATTGCCCTTTCAATTTTTCCAGGGAAAAGTGCTTTCAGAGAGGAGGGTGATAAGGCAGGTCTGCCTATTCATTACAAAAAAACCTACGTGTGTTAACATAACTAAAAAGCTGGATGTTAGTCTTCTTTCAGCAGTTTCATGTGAAACAGATGCTGTTCTTACAGTTTTCTGCAGGTTATAATTTATACTATAGGTAAGTAATCACTGCTGTGCAATAGCTGTGGTTTTGAAGGGCTGAAGCTACATTTTATAGATGGAAAAACCTACCAGCATCCATCATTCTGCAGACAGATCCCTAAAAACTAATTGCTTCAGTTTCAGGAGACCTACTACGAATTTGTTAGATTAGGAGAAAAGAGAAGCTTAACATATGACATAAAACAGTAACGGAAAAACTAGTAACATTCACTGAAAAACTAGTAACTTAAAAAATAAATTCCTACATATTTCTCAGTAATGTTTAGTCACAAATGATGATGGTTTGAGTTTCATTTTGCTGTGAACTTCAGCCTCATTAATATTTTAACGTGGAATTAGTAGTGTCTTTATAATGTCTGATCCTTTCCCAAAGACATAACGTGGAACTGACTGAAAAGACTGGTACAAACTTCAAAGAGCAAAACAACGCATTTCACTGTTGAGAGCAAACATGCCCCATGGGGGGGGGGGGGGAAATCAAGACAGGAACTTCAAAGAAGGGAGGAAAAAAAAAAAGAAATCAGCTGAAAAATAGAGTAGGTGGGAAATTTCAGTTATGAGTAGCCCCATTTCAGAGGCAGCCTACAGCAAGCCGTGCTTGAACCTGGTCTCTCCCGTGGCAGACTTGCAGTTCAAGCGGGCAGCTGCAGCCACAGCTGATGCTTGCCTGCAGCGGGCAGGAGGGTGATGGGGGGCTTCTTCCCCGCTGTCCTCTCCTCACCTCCCACGGGGTGCCTTCGCACCCCCGGGCCGTCGAATTCTGCCCCTACTTGAGTCAGGCAGGATGGCTCCCTGCCAGAAGCTGGGGGCTGAGCTGCCAGCTCTGCCCTTCTTGCATCCTGAGCAGGAGCCTTCAGCAGCGGCGCTGGTCCCTGCCCGGCCTGGGCTCATCCAGCGCTGCAAAACCAGGCGCTTTCTTTTCCAACGAAACCCACAGCACTCACAGTAGCTAGCGGGATGGAGAGTGTGAAACAGGTAATTAGTTAAAGTCTCCTTCATAACAATAACCTCTGCAAAGTGGCAGCTCAGGTTTTCTAAGGACTTTGCCTTTAAAGAAAACCAGATTGCTTGAACTACAATGGATGATGGGAACAATACCGTACTTGTCTGCCTCCGAAGTATCCCAGAAACCCTTGGACACCATCGGTTACAAGGATTACATATTTTCAGTCTCTGGCAGCAATTTGCAAACCCTTCTCATGTGACCAGCAACAAAAAAAATGTTAATAGGAACATTCACAAAAGTGGAGTTTCACAATTACTCATGCAAGTAAAAATTCACTGTGATATATTGTGTGTGAATATGGATTCATAAAAATGATCCACTATGAAAAATTCACACGGCCGCACTAAATGGTGCTTAAGTAACACACTGAGGAAATGCCAGTTGCAGTGTGAATAATTAATATGAATAGCAAGTGAATAGTTGGCAAGAGATCTCAACTTGAAATAATGTTTAAGTATGTAAAACCTTCTTGAATAATCAGCTAACTTATTTGTATGGTCACAGTCTGTTCACAGATAATTCACTACTAAGAAAAAAAAAAGGAGCCATATTTATCAGATAAAACCATTTACTGAGAACAGCTCATGTCAATTTACACTATGAACTGTTCATGTCAAGTTTTGTTGAGCTTTTGTTTTGCTTTTGGTGGTAAAAGATTGTATCAGAGTATGCCTTTGGAAATAATGTCAAAACCAGGATTGAAACCAGCAAGCTATCTCCAGCCCTGGAGACAGGCCAGGTATGGAGCCTGATGGCTGAAAGAAGACACAGAAACAAGATCCTCACTCTGTGAAGTATCTACCCCACCTTTCAGACTCGTTCTACAAAAATGCTTCAAATGCATGCGTTCAATGGAGTTGTTTTTTAAAAAAAAAAAGTGACAGATCTTCGAGCTTGCCTCTTGAGAATTGTTTTCTCTGTGGGGCTATCTTTTCTAAGAGAATTTACATCTGTATTTTAAGCGTTAATCATTAGGAGAGATCCAAAATGAATACTGCGCTGAGCATACTTACACCAGTAAGTCACGCTAATGTGCACATTTTATGCCTAATTGTATACCCTCAGGAAACTAAAAATAGTACATCTACTCAAGCAGCATATTCCTGCTTTTTGGTATGCACTTTACTTAGGTACATACCAACCATTAAGTAAGAGCAAAAAAATCCTGTGAAGAGCAAAGAAAAATCTTATTGGTACTCAGAGCAGGACTCTGTCTTAATCTCTGTTGATGGATGAAACTCTTCACTGTTATCAGCTGTGCAGCTGGGATTGCAGGCCACCTGCTTATGGTATTAATGCCATTTTCTCTGTCTTGTACATAATTAACAGCATTCAATACAACTATAATTTCGTTTCCTGGGGGTTTTTTTGTCATTAAGCTTTTTTCCACCATTAGCTACAGCCACCTTGGTGCAAAAACATGGCACAGAAACATTTTTATTGCCAACCTGTGAGGGTGATATCATCATCTTCTATAATTTGCTCTTCTGCGACGTCCAGAGAGCTCTCAGTGATCATGTCACTAGGTTCATCCACACAGGTTAAGCCAGAGTAGTTGTGTAGGAGGTCTGCACTAGGAACATGCTCCACGATGACAGCAGGGAAAATAGATGGATCACCAAGCTGGGGGGATGGAAAAAAAAAATAATAAAATAATGGTAGTTAGACTGCATCCAATCAAACCACTTACTGATTAATACAACAGACCTATACTACACCTCTTGAATATTAGGTCATCAGGAGAGAATACCAAAGAACAAGATGATTTTAGCACATAAAACCAAGTAGCAGCAGTGTTCTGCTATGGGCCAGAGACTGAATATTACTGTAGTGGTCTAATATACTAACTTCACTCCAGTAGGTAATACCAGACTCCCACGACAGCATTTTGCTGGATAAAAGCTGACAATACAGAGGAGTGGCACAGCACAGTAAACTCTGCTGGCAATAATACTGGGCAAGCAGCTTGCTGCAAGCACCCTAATCTTTTGCTCTTCCCGTCAAGCTTGGGGAGGAGTCCAGTGGCTGTCAGGACTGGACAAAGCTTTCACAGGCACCACATTTCCCATGAGACACTAGTTGAAGATCACTGTTTTAGGAGATAGTTGCTACAAGAGCAAAGGGTGTAACACGGGGTGCTTGATACACGTGCCGTAGTACTTTACCTCTCTAATTCTTATAGCTTTAGTCACTTTACATTACTCCCCTCTGCTTTCCTTCCTAAGTCCACTGTCAGACATCATCCTTCTGACTCAATAGTTATTTTGCATCAGATACAGAAGAAAAGAGACAGCTGGGAAAATAGAAATCAAGCTGACCAGTAATAATAATAAAGTGCACACTCTCTGAAAAGGGAACCATTCAACAGGAAGAGGTTTTCAGAAAATATCATTTACTACAGACACAGTATTTTCCAAAGCGAGTCTTCTGAAGTGTCATTTTGCAGGAAGAAAGTCATAGGTGATCATTGCAGAGTAGGCTCAAAGAAAAGTCTAGTGTAACTCTAAGGCTCTCTCACTATAAAAATAAATCACACTACAAATGTGGTAAGCTTAAAAACAAGAAAACAAACCAAAAAGTTGCTAAAATGTGTTTCTAAGAAAACCCGTATATGTGTATTTTGTCTTACCCTCCACAGAAGAGCACAGATATGCACAGATCAAGCAGGATTTTTATTTAACCACACAAGAAAAAAAAACACAACACATACGATCATGAGCTTGCTTAGAGATTGCTCATGTCTCACAATCTCGCCACTATGCACACTGCCTCCAAAGGAAAATGGTATCAGAGCTATTGGCTCAACACAGGCAACAGCTACAGGAGTAAGCCTCTCCTAGGCAAGAGTCTGGAAGGTAAGTACTGAAAGTAGAAAGTACAATTAGAAGTTTTAAAAGGCAGTAATTACCACTTTAAATTGCTCTGTGTTTTGTAAAACATGTCTCAGTAACAACTGTGGTAAAGGACAACCAGGAAAAAAGGAAGGAAAAAAGGAAGAACTGAGAAACAAAACTAGTATTTCTTTGGGCTTCTATCATGGACAGCCTGCTAAACAAAAAAAAACCCAAATGCAAAACCCCCACAAATAACCTACCTACTCTACCAAACAGAAGCTTCAAAATAGAATATCATCTACAAGATCAATAAAAATGAACAACGGGCAGACTAGTTAAAGCCCTCTCGTGCAATCATGTTGCCAGATGAGTGGCGTACATCGAGTCAAGCAATGGGACAGCTTCTACTCCACACTTTTGTGGCGACCTCTCTCCAAGGCTGCGTCTTGCCAAGAAACCAGGAACCACTGGTGGCCACAGGTCCCTGCTGTTCCTCAGAAAGCATCGTGTTCACATTGCACATCCTGTTTGTTTCCTGACCCTATCATCCCAGATCCTATTTGCTTCCAGGCTAGGGTAAACAAATAGATTTGATTAAATAAAAGCTAAGTCAGTAAAAATGATAAAGCACTGCAAAGAAAGAAGAAAAATAAAATACTGTGTGCATTAAAAAAGGTTTTATTTTCAACAATACATTCCAGAAACTAGAAGGAAGATGATCTGTTGCAACTTCACTAGCAATACAAAATTCATGCTACAAAAATAGTTTAAGAACCTGAATTTCAGTAAAATGCCACTGTACATAAGTTTTGGGATATATTGTACGCCTATATGTAATGACATTAAAAAAAAAATTGAAAAAAGATTACATACGACACTCCGCTCAGGCTCCTGTCACCTGCAAGCTTTGCAAGTACCTGTTCAATATTTTCCTGAGCAGTTAAGAACTATGGATTTAGGTAGGGAAGATGCAAGTAAGACAATTTCAGCAGTCTTATCCTGCTCTAGCTCACAGACGCTAGGGGTCAAGTACCTCTCACTAATGTCTGGACTTGAGTGGGTAACCCCTGATTTCTCTCTGTCAGCTCTGAAGGAAATGGGTATTTCCAGGGCACAATTTCCCTGCCCAGTTTTAGGCCTTTGTGCTATGATAGGATGAATCATGCCCTAAAAATGCCTATTCCTTTCCATTGACTATAAAAGGGTGGAGGCGTTTGGGTGTCTATTTATGATGTCAGCGTCTGTCTCCTACACACTCATCGGAAAATGGCCAGCTGCCCCCCCCCCCCACCTTCACACACCGCACATGCCCCCCCCCCCCCCCCCCCATCTTCAGAGCAAAGCACTCTCTCCTCCCTATTCCCACCATTGCACCAGCTCCATAGCTACAGCGTCTGCAGCAACGTACTGAGTGCCCGCGCTTAGGATAAGCCTCATGTTAGCTCCTTCTGGATAAAAAAAATACTCTGGCTCAGCACAGTCCTTCTCTAATGACTGACGTTCATGTCACTGACTTGGCCTCCGAGAGGCAAAACCCCTCCGCATCTCTGTTATTCTTCAGTGGGGACAAGTCACCAAAAACTGTTTCAGAATAATAAAGGAAACACAGATAAACCCAACCAATTGTCACATATTATCAGCTCAGTTTCTCAAAGCCCTATTTATATTATACCCTACTCATCACTCTGCTGTGAAACATTTACTACAACAGCCCAACCATCCGTTTGTTACCGACACACACTTTGCTGCTGACCAAAATGCTTCCCGTGGTACTGGA